GGGAAACTGAGGCTCAAGAGCACAGTCTACTGGAAAGAGCACATGAACCTGGATTTGGAAAACTTGGATTTGAGTCCAAACTGTGCTGTGCTACCCACTAAGTGTGACCTGCCAAGGTTCAAAGGCTTTGGTTTCACCATCTATATGATGGAAAGATTTGACAAGATGCCTCCTAGGGTCCCTTCTGGGGCTAACGACTGCGATTCTAGGTTGTGTGTCTTGTCACCAAGAGTCACCAAGTTAAGAAGAGGAAGTCCTAAGTCTTCAGATATAATCAGAAGGGTTTTGTGTTTGTTTGTTTTTTGATTACTGAACTGGAAGTCAAATGAGCCAACTGCCACAGAAGGCAAAATAAGCTCAGAGCTTTACAAAGACAAGGAAAAATGCTTTTTGAGTTCAGGACATGCTTCATGAAGGGGCGTCATCCGAGATGGTCTTCCAGGATAGCCAGAAGTTCAAACAGGATGAGAAAGGGCATTCCAGGAGGAGAAACAACACAAGCAAAGGTATGGAGATAAGAAGGGCAGGCATTATCAGAACCTAGGCTGGAATGTGCCCAGCTTAGGAACCCAAGACTGTGATGAGCAAGAAGGGTGCTGGATGCTGCTGCTGCTGTACATCTCTTGGATCTTCAGAGTCAAAGATGGATGAGGAATACCACTTCACACTCACAAGGATGGCTATTATAAAAAAACAAACAAAAAACTGGAAAATAACAAGTGTTGGGGACGATGTAAATTAACTGGAACCCTCATACATTGTTGGTGGGAACGTAAAACGGTGCAGTCTCTGTGGAAAACGGTTTGGTGGTTCCTTGAAATGTTAAACATACCCATTGCCATTGAGCCAATTCCAACTCATAGTGGCCCCATGTGACAGAGCAGATCTGCCCCATAGGGTTTCCAAGGCTGTAAATCTTTACGGAAGCAGACTGCCATATCTTTCTCCCACTGAGTGGCTGGTAGGTTCAAACTGCCAACCTGTCGGTTAGCAGCTGAGTGCTTAACCACTGTGCCACCAGGGCTCCTTTTGTTAAACATAGAACTACCATAAAACAAACAAAAAAACAAATCTGTTGTCACTGAGTTGATTCTGACTCATGACGACCCCATGTGTTACAGAATAGAACTGAGCTCCATAGGGTTTTCTTGGCTGTAATCTTTACAGAAGTACATCACCACGCTTTTCTTCCGAGGTGCCACTGGGTGGGTTCGAACTGTCAATCTTTTAGGTTAGTAGTTGAGTGCAAACCATTTGCACCACCTACAACCAAAACAAAAAACCCAAATAAGGGTGGGTCTTTAGAAGGGAGAGGGTATCGATTTTGACTCATATCAACTCCACAGGACAGAGAAGAATTGCCCCATTGAGTTTCCAAGGAGTGGCTGGTGGATTCGAACTGCTGAGTTCTTAACCACCATGCCACTAGGGTCCTGTAAAATTACCAAATGACCCAGCAATTCCACTCCAGGGTATATACCAGAAAGAATTGAAAGCAGGGACTCAAACAGATACCTGAATGCCAATGCCCATTGTAGCAATATGTAATAAGCTAAAAGGTGGAAATAACTCAAGTGTCCATCAACTGATGAATGGATAAACAAAATATGGTATATCCTACAATGGAATATTATTCAGCTGTAAAAAAGAATGAAATTAGGATGCATGCTACAACATGGATGAACCTTGAAAATAATTATGCCAAGTGAAATAAGCCAAGCACAAAAGGACAAATACTGTATGATCCCACAGAGAAAGATTAGAGGTTATCAGGGGTAGGATGAGGGGTGAAAACGGGAAGTTATTGCTTAAGGGGTACAGAGTTTCTGTTTTAGGGTGATGAAAAAGTGTTGGAAATAGACAGTGGTGATGGTTGCACAACATTGTGAGTACAATTGATGTCACTGAATTGTACATTTAAAAATGGTTAAAATGGCTCATTTTATGTTATATATATTTTACCACCAAAAAAAAAGTTAGATGAGGACCTTGCACCTGCTTTTGTGGGGAAGAACAGCATACCCCGTTCATAGAGCTGGATGCTGAAAGGCTTGAGAGCCTGCAGAGTCTGAGCATCTACAGGTATGTGGCCTAGGAAGGCTGCCTGGATCCTGCCGTGAACATCCCTCCTGCCGCACAGTGACCGGGCACTGGCTTACGGGAAAGCCTGCCAGCCAAGTTAGCAGAGGCTCACAGACAAGGCTTTCATAATACAGTCACGCCCTTGGCTTTCTGGGAATCTGAGTGGCTGAAGAGGGGTCAACTGGGGATGGGGACGTGCACCAAGGTAACAGGCACTCGGCTCTAATGGCAGAAATGGTGGATACCCTCTCCCTTCTAAAGACCAACCCTTATTTGGGGCAGGCATGCTTTCTTGCCCTCCAGGCTCAGAATCACTGAACATTAGAACTGGAAGAGCTCTTAAAGAACAGGTCCAAGCACCCCATCCTACAGATGAGGGAACTGAGGCCCAGGGAGATAGAGTGGTCTATTGAAACCCTACCAAATGAGTCATAGATAGAGCCAGAAATAAGGTCCAGGTCTGACTCCTAGTCCAGGGCCATAGACATTCTGAAGTCAAAAATATCACATGCTTTAAGACATACAGGAGAAAGGAGAATGGAGATGTTTCAGGGAAGAGGAGGGCTGGGAAAGTGTCAGACGCAGGGACAGCTGGAGGATGCTGAGGACAGAGAAGAGAATCCTGAGTTCAGCACTCAGGAAGCAACTGGAAATGGACCTGTTGATGCAGGTGTAGAGAACAAACGCAGGAGAAGCCGGGCTACTCCCTTAAGACATGAAAGCAAAAGGGATAGACAAAGAGTAAGAAAGAAACTTTGAGATGGCAGGGAAAAAAACGAAAGGCATTTCAGCTGAATGACCGTGATCCTCCGTTTAGGCAATAAGGCCAACTGCTGGAACAGCATCTTTGTGGGGACTAGACTAGGGGTACATGGTCCAGATTCAGAGGGTACTGTGTGGTATGCAGGAGTCAATTAAGGTCTAACAAGGCCTAAAGAGCAGCTCAGGGAGCTTGCACTTTACTGAACCTATGATCTGTGCTGGTGCCAAAAAGCACAGCCCGTGACTTTCTCCAGGAATGCCTGGCAGCCTGGGGGAAGCAGCAGAAAAAACAGATGGGCCTGCATGTTGAGGGGAGGGCAGAGAAAGTCATGGGGGCAGGGGAGTCAAAGGGCGACTAAGGACACAGGTGAGATGACAGGAAGGCAAGGCCGGAAGTCGGCAAAGAAAGGAGAATGAGGTAGAAGGGGAGAGCGAGGGCCAAGACCAGATAGAGGGACTGGAGAAAGAAAATCAGGGGAAGTTATCATTGGGACAGGGAATGACAGAATTCTGGATCTTGCAGTGATGAGTGGGGACAGGACCCAAAGTGTCCTCAAGTGAGGTTGGCTCAAACAAAGCTTACAGAGAGGGAAGAGTGTCTGGAATGTTTAGAAAGTCAGCAACTTGAATTCCGAGGCTGCCCAGGGGAGGAGAAAATCTGAGCTGCCAGAGGCCTTGAGGGATGTGAAGGACAGTCGTGAGGTCAGAAGGCAGGGCACTGGGTGGCCCAACTTCGAAGGAGACAGAGCTGGACAGGGAGGTGGAAAAGGCAAAAGCCAGTCTGCCCCTCCCCAGGGCCCAGGGAGCCAGAGTGACAGCCTCCAGCTGAGAAATGGAGATGCAATCGAGACCATTTATTCAAGGGGGCAGCAGAGTTCACGGCAACAGCTGGGGGTGGGTAAGGGAATCTGCTCTCAACACTCAGGAGTCCTGAAGATGCACCTGCACAGACACCTAGCTGGGGGGCCCCAGGGAAGGCACATACACCCAGGAGGCCCTGAAGTCTGGATTCCACTCCATCTCTAAGGACTCCGGCATCTCACCCACATTCTCCAGCAGACCCCATTACCAGGCACCAACTTTGAGCATCTTCACCTTACGAGTGTCACAGTGGCACCCAGGCAGTACCTAGTGTGTGTCTTTCAGGCAAAAAGGCTTAACCATTTATGAGGAGCTCTGGGTCTCTCATTCAAATGCCTCATTATCAGAGAACTCGCCCTTCAATGCACTGTCTACAATAGCACCTTCCGACGTCCAGCCTCTGCAGTCTATTCCCTCTTACTCTGCTTTATTTTCTTAACATGTATCACACCTGTCATGTTTATATCTATGACTGCTCATAGACCATCTCACCTCACTAGAATGGAAACTCCGTGAGAGCACACTTCTGCCTTGTCTGTTCACTGCTTTATCCACAGTACTTAGAACCAGGCCAGTGCATAACAGGCATTCAATAAATATTTTCAGATTGTTGAATAAATTATCTTTGAAACCCAGAGCTAAATTTTGATGGGAAGGGAGACGATGAAATCATTCCTGCTTTTAAAAAGAGTGGTTAGTGGTTCTGAGCTACTTCCAGTTCACTCACTCTAGCACCTCCACTGTCTCAGGCAAAGCAAGCGAAGGCTTTGCTGACCTAACACAACCTCCTGGAGCTGCAAAATGGTTCCTGGGCAACGCCAAGGCCTGCTCTGACTGCCTCCCTCACCCGCTAAGCCTGGCTAGGATCCAGCTGTGTTTAGAGAGCCCACTCCCTACATCCAGCATGACTCCAGAAGATGGTAGCACAGCCTCTGCTGATTGAAAATAAATGTGACACCATTAAAACAATCTCTCTAATGATCTTTTTCTTCTTTCTACCTCCTTTAAATATGTGCCCATAATGCATCCCTATGCTTTGAAACATCTCCCTGAAGCATCCCACAAGTGACATAAATGCTTCCTTCTTTCCCTGTTATTGGCCACCTGGCAGGGGGTATCCTCCAAGCATTGTGGATGCATTTCACACAGCCACCATCACTGGCATCCCAAGTCTTGTTACTGGAAGAATATCGCAGTTTTACTCCTATTTTTCTCTACCAATTTCTAGCAGCTGTGGCTTTGCAATTAGCATGAAAAGCCAATCTGTGCCTACACAGAACCAAAGCAATACACACCGTGACCTGGGCCGAGTCGAGGAACTGGAGGCCAAAGTAATCTGTTTCCACGAGGTCCAAGTGGTATACGATTTGATCAAACAAATCCTGGCCTTTGGCATGTTTCTGAAAGACAATTGGGGACGTGAAAATTGAGGGTGAGAGAGCTGGATAAGAAATCAGAGATTTTTAAAAAGCCAAAGTCACTTCTCTCTGTATGTTATGTACACATAACATGTCACAGTACAAATTTTTATAAGTCAATTCATTTTATGATAAATGTAATACAAACTCATGATTAAAGAAATTCAAATGCCATATAACAGTATAAAGTAAAAACCCAGATAACCACTGTTAGCGCTTTCTAGTCTCTCCTTTCAAAAGAATGCTTTTTAGATGAATGCCTATATATGATAGTAAGCTTTCCAAAACTCAGACACTCTCGAAGAAAGGTGTGATGGGCTCCTACTCCAGCAATGAAACATGGACAGTTTCCCCTGAAGTTTTACATCAACACAGCCAATCTTCCGAAATCAGCTCACCGTTTGGAATTGACTCCTTCAGCCCTCTGATTTCACAGTGCAGTAAGCAGGACCCAGAAAAGCCAAGAGAGCTGCTGGGGTCACAGGAGATAGAGCCAGGACTCACACTCAAACTAAAGGTCCATTTCTGGGTTCTGCCTGACTGTGTAGTACATACAAGGGGCATGAGCACAAGAAAAGACTCAGAGACAAGGGTCAAGTCCTGGACTGTAAAATGGGCCTAATGATATCTGCTCTCCTCATCTCTCCAAGGATTAAATGAGATTGCAAATGAGAGACCACTGCAAGTCTTTGAGAAATGAAAGAGCTTATTAACACTCACCTAAGCAGGACGCAGGCATAATTTGCTGATAAAAACTATACCACTGCCAATGGCTCCCAACACAAATATGTTTAAACCTAGGCATTCATAACAATAAAGAGAAAACAAAGAGAAACCAAAACCAGCTTCATAGGATGATTAGGGAACCGACTCCTTATTATAAAAACTGGCAAACAAAGGGAAAGAATCAAGCATTTATCCTGTATTTAGCTGTAGCACAGTAGCACTGGGTAACCAAAGTGTAGACAGCACTGTGTACAAAAATTAATTCAAAATGGATCACAGACCTAAATGTAAGAGTTAAAACTATAAAAGTCTTAGAAGAAAACAGATATCAATCTTTCATGACTTTGAATTTAGCAACAGGTTCTTAGATATGACACCAAAAGCATAAGCAACAGAAGAAAAAAAACAGAGAAACTGGACATCACCAAAATTGAAACCTTTTGTACTTCAAGGGATCCCAAGGCATCAAGCAAGTGAAAAGACAACTGTGATGGTTAAGGTTATGTGTCAACTTGGCTAGGCCGTGATTCTCAGTGGTTTGGCAGATATTATGTAATCATCCTCCATTTTGTGAGCTGATGTGAGCAGCCAATCAGTTGAAGAGGAGTTTCCTCGGGGGTGTGGCCTGCATCCAATACATACGGAGGTTTTGGCAAAGCTCACTCTCTCTCAATTCTGCATCTGACTCGTCATCCTCTGACCTCTGGTTCTTAGGATGTGAGCCAGCAGCCTGACATCTGACCTGCAGATTTGGGGTTTGTCAGCCCCTACAAACACACGAGTAAGGAGAAGCCTCCAGCCTGATGCCTGACCCACAGATTTGGGACTTGCCAGCTTCTACAACTAGGTGAGCCATTTCCTTGAAATAAATCTCTCTGTATACATATTTGGAGCCCTGGTGGCACAGTGGTTAATAAGAGCTCGGCTGCTAACAAAAAGGTCGGCAAATCAAATCCACCAGCTGCTCCTTGGAAACCTTATGGGGCAATTCTACTCTGTCCTATAGGGTCACTCTGAGTTGGAATCAACTAGACAGCAATGGGTTTTTTTTTTTTTTTTTTTAAATACACACACACACACACACGTGTGCGCTTCACTGGTTTTGCTCCTCTAGAGAATCCAGTCTAAGACAACAACCCACAGAAGGGGAGAAAATTTTTGCAAATCACACATCTGAGAAAGGACCTGTATCTAGAATGTACAAAGAATTATTACAACTCAATAATAAGGCAAATAACCCTTTCTAAAAATGGGCAAAGGCTCTGAATAAACAGTTCTCCAAAGAAGATAAACAAATGGCCAATAAGCACATGAAGAGCTGCTCAACATCATTAGTCATCAGCGAAATGCAAATCAAAATCACAATGAGATACCACTTCACACCCACTAGCATGGCTATCGGCAAGAAGACAGTTAATAGCAAGTGTTGGTGAGGATGTGGAGAAATTGACCTTGCTAGTGGGAATGTAAGATGGTACAGGTGCTTTGAAAAACAGTCTGGCAGTTCCTCAAACCATTAAACACACAATTACCCATAGAGTTAGCATGTGATCCAGCAATTCCACTTCTACATATATACCCAAGAGAAATGGAAACACATGTCCATCAATGTTCACAGCAGCATTCTTCCTAACAGCCAAAAGGTAGAAACAACACAAATGTCCACCAGCTGAGGAATGGATAAACAAAATGTGGTATATCCAAACAATGGAATATTATTCAGCAATAAAAAGGACTGAAGTACTGATACATGCTACAACATGGATGAACCTTGAATATTATGCTAAGTAAAAAAAAAAAAAAAAACAGCCATAAAGGACCACATATTGCATGATTCGATTTATATGAAATGTCCAGAATGGGCAAATCTGTAGAGACAGATAACAGGCTAGTAATTGCCTAGGGCTGGGGGAAGAATGGGGGGACTGAAGGGAAGCAGGGCTCATTTGGGGGCATTAAAATGTTCTAAATTTGATTGTGGTGACGGTTACACAGCTCTGAATACACTAAAAGTCACTGATTATATATTTCTAATGGGTAAATTGTACGGTATATAAACAGTTCTCTAAAGAAGATAAACAAATGGCCAATAAGCACATGAAAAGCTGCTCAACATCACAGCCATCAGGGAAATGCAAATCAATAAAATATACCTCAATACAACTGTTAAATATAGATGAGCTGAGTTTTTATTTATAGAAGTATTCAACAAATGAAGAAGAAATAACAAAACTGCAATATCGCCATTTTGCAACCCCTAGTAGTTGGAAGGAGTCCTGGTGGCACAGTGGTTAAGAGCTCAGCTGCTAACCAAAAGGTTGGCAGTTAGAATCCACCAGCTGCTCCTTGGAAACGCTATGGAGCAGTTCTACTCTGTCCTATAGGGTCACTATGAGGTGGAATGGACTCAACAGCAACAGGTATGGTTTGTTTTGGTTCTAGTAACTGGAAAAAGGAGCCCTGGTGGCACAGCGGTTAACACTCGCTGCTAACCGAAAGGGTGGTTCAAACCCACCAGCCGCTCCACAGGACAAAGATGAGGCAGTCTGCTCCTGTAAAGATTACAGCCTTGGAAACCCCAAGGGGCAGTTCTACTCTGTCCTATAGGGTCAATATGAGTCAAAATTGACTCAACAGCAACAGGTTAGTGAATGGAAAGAAGTCCTTGGGTAGTGCAAACAGTGAAGCACTCAGCTACTAACTGAAAGGTTGGCGGCTTGAGTCTACCCAGAGGTGCCTCGGAAGAAAGACCTGGCAATCTACTTCCAAAAACTCAGCCATTAAAACCCTAAGGAGCACAGTTCTACTCAGACACACATGGGGTCACCATAAGTCAGAATCGACTCAATGACAACTGGTTTTTTGGTTAGTGAATGGAAAGCTCTAAGCACTGGGCAGCAGAAGTTACTAACATCACAAAAAGAGACAACCAGCCATTACGAGCCTCCTGATGAAGAGCACATCACCTATGATATAATCTTGCTTGCCAACCATAAGCCCCCCACCAACCCAAAGCAAAAAATTAAAATTAAAAAAATCAAGACTGGGACTGATTCAACCTCTCTAGATCCAACTGTCAACTTGCAGGAAATGCAAGAAGATCTTACTAAACTACATGGGAATGCAGTCAGCAAGATCCAGCCTATGGGAAAACTCTAGAAACTTCTCAGGACAAACAATCCAGCTTATTCAACAAACAGAATTTAGGGAAAAGAAGAGATGGACAGGGGATTACGGATTAAAAGAGACTTAAAAGACATTTTAAAAAACAGGCAAAACTAAACCCCAATGTCTAGGGATGATGCACACTTGGATGATAAAACATTTAAGAGCAAGCAAGAGATTACAATAAAGTCAGGGTAGCTGCTGGTCTTGCAGGGGAGAGGGAGTCGTGACTGCAAGGGGGCCCGCAGAGGGCTTCTTGGCTGGCTGGCAAGGCTCTATCTCCTGACCTGGGCAGTGGGGACTAGACAAGGTACAAGGCGTCTGCCTTCTAGTAAATCATCAAACCGTACGCTGCTTTATTTGCATATCTGTATTTGTGTTACACATAACAAACAAAAGAGTCAACTCTCCTTTCTGGAGATATTCTTCTGAAGGCAGTAATTCAACAGAAGCAAAAGGCTCAACATGCAAACTTGTTCTCTGTAGTACTACTTACTGGAGAAAGGGGGAGAGGAAGAAGAAATCACCTAAAACTTCCAACCACTGAGACCCACAGCAGTGGCACATCAACACCACTGAATACCGTTTGACCATTATAAAAGACAATTACAAAGATGAGACAGAAAGCAAGAGAAATTTTTGGTGACAATGTTAAGTAAACAGACCACAAAAGAATAAGCAAATTGTGATTCCTACCACTTAAAAGTATGTATGCGTTATTCATGATAAAAACAGTAAATTTCCAAAAACTAAAACAGCTGTATTAATTAGGATGGAGAAACTGTGAATGGTTTTCTTCCCCCAAGTTTTCTTGAACGTTGATCTTCTGGTAATTTTAGACAAGGAATACAATTTAAAAAAAAAAAAAAATCATTCCGGGACTCTTCCCCCTTGCCTATAAAAATCCATCCTTCTGATGTTATTTTTTCCTAGCACTATCCAGTGCTACCATGCCCTAGGGGACACCTATTATCATGGATCTGAGGCTTCATTAGCCAGATTCCTAGTGGGACAGGACTAGTTAAAGTTCTAGCAGCAGAATGTGGCAGAAAACCCTGGAGTGGGAGGAAGAAGGAGACCTGAGCTCTAGG